TGTATCATTTTGAAATGAAGGAAAAAACACATAATATACTTCAGTATCTTTATTCTGCATTGAAAATATTTTCAATTATATCTAAAATTCATCAAAATGCTCACATTCAATATCAATTGAAAAATGAGACTAACTGAAATAATGAATTTCATAAGCGTCTGATAGCCCTAACTGAAACTGTACACTATAGACAAAATAACAAAAGTTTATTACAAAAAATGACAATTTCAAGTGTAATAATGAGTTTCATCTTCATAAGTCTGCTCATGTAGAAGACCTTCTTGATCTTCTTCCAGCTGCCTCTGTGGGAATGTTAGACCATCGCCTATACTATACAAAAAACAGAACATGTTAATTATATACCACTAATTCATCATCAAACAAAAACAATGACAAACCAACACCCAGCACAATAATTCTAATCATGCTCTTTTACCCAAATTGTTAGGCGGAAATAAAATCAACTATGTTATGAATACCATCCTAAAGTCGGTAAGCGAAAGTGAGGGGAATTATTTCAAATGTTTGTTATTGACATTCAAATATTACGTCGCTGGTCCTAAAATGCACATCCACTGAGAGTAGCCATCCGAATGCGAGGAACATTAGTGCTAGTACTGTGAGGTCTGGCATTGGGGATACTCCATAACATTCGGAAAGCAACTAAAACGCCTATCAAAGGATTGCAGAAATTCTGAAAATGCGATATGGACAACAGTACTTCAAGCTATACCAAGAACAATCCAGGAACTGCCCATCAAATGTAGCGACACTGAGGGTAACAACCCGACTTCTGTGTCGTGAAGTTACATCTCTACTATGGCAACGTCTCAAACTTCTCCAGTGAACACGGAAAGTTGGAGAATTTTTGAGAGTGTTCGAATGGGGTATATATTAGAGGCTATCGAATTTGAAAACAATTTCCGACTGTGTATTACAACTAATCCGATGCCCGTGGTACCGTCGAATCCTTTGATACTACAGCACTGAACGCGTTGGATAAGAATCTCATCCTAAGAGCGGTTGAAAGTCCCCGGCAACTCTGGCGGATCACGTGGTAAGAGAGTTCACTGGTTGTATTATTCTACTGTGATGAAAGTCTCAATAGAATCAGTCAAAAGAGGAACGGTAGCTAAGTGTCGCATGAAAACTATGAGCGACGAGGCGAGTAAAAGGATATCGTCACAATTCTAGTAGAGAGCTTTCACGGCCGGAGATATTTTCCGGGTTTGCTGGACGTAGCCTGAAGGTTTTTATGGCTAACATTTCGTCTACGACTGCGGTAGACATCAAAGGGGATGCGGCAACAGATTAAGTTCTTGGGTTGTCCTAGCAGCACAGATTACTTAGTTCAATTTGCGGGTCTCTAATTTCATTCATCGAACGAACATTCCTTCATTTTTGGATAGAGGATGTGATTCCAATATCTGATCATATTATGGATACACCCCTCTCAGTTGAGAAACACACATATACATACTAAATGGCAAGTTGAGCTCTAAGTAGTGATATATGATATCTGAGATATTAAGTATATGTAGCCTAAGAACATGTGCAGTCGTGGTATCATATATTTTTTGGCTCCTCGATATATTCACAAAGAATATTCATTACTCAAAAAAATAATACTGAGATGTATCCTAATCTAGATCGCAAAACCTCTTGCGAGAAGTTCTTTGCTACACTCAACATTTTGACATGGGCCTTTTGTTTTGTAACGAAATATTGTAAACTGTTTTCTAGAAATGGTAGTTATTACTAACAATACAGATATTAATACTAGATATTGTAAAGAACTGGCTATTCCCAGTCACAACTCCCATAAATTACTATAGCAAGCGCCAAACGTGATGGCGAGCGCTCGCCATCACGTTTACGTGGATTACGATGAGCCCCTTGCCGGCCAGTGTCGTACCTATAATTAGTTTTAATTAGGGTAGCAAATGGGGCATGAATTCTTTGTAATTTCTTTTCATATTTTATTCAGTATTATACAGTTCATTGAAATGTTATATAATGATACACTCTAGATGACTGGTTTTTTGTTAGGCGATGCCATTTTTTCAGAAACAACACAAATTATTCAGACAATGCCAGAGAGCATTTGTATGTCTTGCAAGAGCTGTAGTGGGGGTTACTTACATTTCAAATGAGGGGACAGGCTCGCCTTCACGTTTGGCGCTTGCTGTAGAAATCTTACTCTCGGACAATGAAAGCAAAAATATCAGAGCCTTTGAGAAGTTCAGTCAATTCTTAATATAAACACTACTATTATTTCAATTGCTGACTTGACAAGAATTGTAAATGCTGTTTTATCATGAATATTTTTGAAAGTTTTCTCAGCTTTATGTAGCTTTTTACACCGTGTTGATGTACTACTGGTCTCTTTTACTAATCTAATTTGCAATTTTAATCATTGTTGAAAAATCAGTACCTGCCCTTTTTAGTTCAAATAAGAATAAAAATTGGCCTTTGGAAAATGTGACCTATGCTGTAACTATTGATTGTATATCAATAAATAATAATTCAACATGGAATCATAGACATTTTCATTATGGGGAACTTGAAAATTCGTCATTTCAAAACCCCATTCTTATTCAAATTCTTTATTATATTCTAAACTTTCCACCACTTTACATATTTTTGATTGAATCAGGTTAAAAAATCTTGAGAAATTTATAGGTGCAAGACAGCACGACATATCAATAATTAAAAATACTACATAAATTTAGACTTCAATAAATAGATGTGAAATGCCACAAGTACGTAGAAAGGTTTACATGAGAGGCAAGGGTATGGTTTTTTCACCTGTGCTTGGGCATTTCATATGCACCTCTCCGGATTATGTCCCATATACTTCGGTTTCATTCCGTGTTCTCTAATTCATCGGGATACCGTGTTAGGAATCACACGTTAAAAGGTAAGACCTCGTTAGTCCTTAGCTCGCACAAGTTTCTCAACTTCTGAGAGTTGTCGTTCGTATGGGGGGCGACAACAGATTTCTTTTTAAACAGATAATCGGACGGCTCACTCCGTCTGAAATGACATTCCCAGTACTGACGAGGAGCAAGTAACCCGAAACCAGTCTATCGGTGGTCGTCCCTACCACCACTTCAGCTTTCTGCGCGACAGCTGGGTAAGTTGTTGTTTTTTCCGTCGGGCATCTGCCACAAGTACCTACAATGTCGTAGGTTCACATGAGAGGCCAGGGGTGAGGGCATGTCATATGCACCTCACCGCAGGAATATCTTTATTATTCTTTGATACGATCACGACATTACAGCAAGATCGTACTTGCCATATTCACTGACCTGCTTAGTAGCTGAACAATTTCATCCACCTTGGATATATACCAGGAACACTACTTCAGAATTTGATACTATCCGTGAAGAACTACGCCAAAACGTATGTGTGTGTGTGTATATACATCTGAATATACCTTGACAATTATGTGTTGACTTATACTAAAAACTGTTGACTGTATTTTTATCTTTATCTACCTATAAGTCCTAAACATAAAAAAGATATATTTGAGTGTCTCATGCATCGGGGTCGAAATGTTGGGTGACAATAGTTAGACCACGAAGAATTTCCTGATTTCCCCGGTAATTAGTTTGACACATTCTGATGTTAAATACAACCCTGCACCATATTTCCATACCTGATGAATTTTAGGTTAGTTTGCTGCTCACTTCCTTTCAAATTCTGTTCGAAGAGGAGGTGTATCAAAACACAACCTTCTCAGCTTGTCTTAAGGGTTCGGTCAAGTTAGAATTCGAATACTGGGTTTGATGACTTTGTTATACAATAACTTTGTGAACAGCATTAGAACATGATCCTCTCCGTCTCCAATGCTGATAATATCTTCAACGCTTATCTTTGTTCATTCCAAAAATTTTGAGCAGCTTTTTGTATTATGGGAAATTTTCGTCAGATATTCCGAATTTCGAAAAACGGGTAAAAACGTTTGTGAAAAATAAAAAAAAGATATTGAAAAACAACTAAGTTTATTGTGTTGTCAACAGAGTGAAGAAAATTATAATATATTCCTTGAAAAACGTCGCTTTGTTCAGTGCGTACAAAATAACAAGAATTTTGTATGAGTTGGTCATAGTTAAAAACAAAACAGAATAGTTTACTTTCTACGGAAATAAATATTAGCTTATCAAAAAATATTCATCAACCAAAGCTGGACATATATACTTTTCTACTATACAAAGTTGCAAAATGATATCTGAAAGATTGTAGAGGAATCAAGAATGGAAGCTATTTTGAAGAATAGATTGATCAAAATTTTTTCAACTAATTTTTTTTCAACCAGTGACCAATAATATTACCAAGCATAATACCTGCCAAGAAATACTATGATGGATACCCCAAATTGTAGCAAACATTACTATGTTTGTTTGAAGACGAAGACGATTGTAGATACCAACAATCGAAACGTCGTGAACTAACGTGACTTGGAATCTCTACAAGTCTGAGATGTTTCTTCATTGTAGTCTCAATTGAAAAATTGAGAAGAACAACTCAGTAGCACTTGTGCTAACTAAGTTGAACTTCGCCTTTTGTTATGTCAGCAACTAGCTCTCTAATTTATTTAAATATTTGTATGTAACTACAGCTGGGTAACAATGAAGACGATTATTATTATTATCTCCTTTTTCTACTTCATCAGATGAAGTTTTGGAATCGTTCTTTGTGTGGTTTTTATGGGTGCTTATGTCACAATATTCAACTGAAGTGGAGTTGATTTTCATCTAACAGAGTAGTTCATTGTCATTATCTTCTCATTATGTCAAAAAGTTCATGGAAACTAGTTTTTCATCAATATGGATTGCCGTAGCTGCTCTACTTTCGATTAAGATAAGACAAATTTAATATTGAACATGAAATTATTCTTAACTTGCAAAACTAGTCAATTCAAGCATCTCCACAATCGATGATAGAATTAAAATAAGATATTCAACAATTAAAACAGGAGCAGGAGGTAACAGAATTTAAATTGACAACATGTTGATGAGTTCTGTGGAATTGTTGGTTTTTCAAAAAAAAAGCATGAAACCTTTTCGGTGAAGAATTTTATGATAAAAATAGTTATCTCATTTTATCATAGTTTTCAAAGTTTCGGGAGTATTCAGATTGTTGTATCATATAACAGACATTACTACTATGATAATATCTATCTAATCAGCTAAGATCTACTATCTATATATATTATCACTAAATATTCATTTTAGATTAGTCTACAATTTTTCAGAACGGCCAATTCTACGAAAAAAGACATCCCCACCTTTTTTATAAAAAAGCTTCCTGACATATTTCAGTTTTTATTGAATATAAGAACATTATGCTCTATGCTCAAGAATGCTTTAAAAGAGTTACTCATAGTGTGGAAGTCTACCCAAGCGACATTAAAAGTTGTGAAGTCACATACAAGTAATTATAGACTAACATCGGACCACGAACAATACGTAACGTTATGGATGCCGAAGGGTTCTGGGAGAATCGAAAGAGATGAGGAAGACGATGGATTGATGAAGGAGTTAGTTGGTTACCCTTTAAGTGGGCTACTGCAAAACAATTATAAATCGAGATGCCATTGGAAACCGTACCAGACTGAAGTGAATCGAAACTCTAGTTATGAAAAACCTGAAGCTAGTCTGTCTATTTTGCTCCTCTCCAAGGTTAAAAGTCACCTTTTTGCTATGTTCACACTAGATTCCTGGTGTAACTTTCAGAAATCACTTTGCAAATATTCTGATGAGCAAGAACGAAACTTTTATCAATGTACCGTGTGCTCACTCAAAAATGACAACTTGGATACATTTCTTTTTAAGACTGGTTCCTAAATATTTAGACCTGACCTAAATTTTAAACATCATCTCGTTCAATATACAAACCGCAATGATAGTTGAACTGCAAACTCAAATATACTATAATATTGAAAACAATGCAAATAAGTATTTTGCCATTTGGGGAAACTAATGATTTTTTTATTAATAATACTCTATTTCACTGAGAATTGATTGCTTCTTAGTTTAGGGCAAATAAAAAATTAGCATTGGTTTCAAAGTACTTTCCTTTTTCTGACATTTTCAGACAACCTGTTTACTGTTTACATCTTCATACATGTTAAAAAATCACCTTGTCATCGCTCATAACGCCATATATAAGCATCAAGTCTTGAACTTCGAACACACCTGTACCATTTTTGTTTAGAATTGTTTCAAAACAAACTGCTGAGAGATTATATATTACGTCCCAAATTTCAAATATATTAGACGGCTGTTCAAAAAGTAATGTTAATGGTCCAGAAAAACATATCTGGTGAAGGGTGGTAGAACCTTCTACAAGTGGTAGAAGGAGGATGAAGGGACTATTGCCAACATAAGGCTTCTGGTATCAATATGCTGTTCTCAGATGATCACGATATATTATTATTATTCTCGAGGTCAACAAGCTGTGGAAGCTGTCTGTAACAAGCTCAAAAGTTATGATCTGTTGGAAAAGTAGTATATAGACGATGAGAAAACTGTATAAAAAAAAAGAGGGAGAACCGATGTGAAAAAACATGAGATTAAATAGATATTTTTTTTCTGCAGGTAGTTTTTATAATTACCTACTTTTTGAGCAGCCCTTGTACATTCAAAAGCAAATGCTTTCATGGACAGGAAATTATATTTTCAAGGTTATTTGATCCGTTTGAGGTCTGTGAAGTGCGTATTCATTTTATGGATATCATTATTTCATTATTAAGTATATCTAAAAATATATTTTCTTGGACATGCTATAAAATAGTGTTTTTTAGAAAACACAGCTAAAAACATTTTCAATTGAATTCGATTCTAAGTTACAGGGTTGCTCGAAGTTGAAGTTGAATGTAATTATATACATATGTCAAAACAATATTTACAAACATAGAATTTGGATACAAAATAGTTCAACAAAAGATATTTAAAGTTATTCAATGATGAGTTGATTATGATTTATCAACAATTGTGAACGTAAATCCTACCTAATTAGACAAATGGTTCAGTGATTCCACCAAGTTCACCTTGTTCCCTATGAAAAAAACGAGAAATAATCTAGTAATGTTGAAACATTTCTATTATAGATATATATAATTTAAGTGACCACTCGGTATATATAGAAGGTATTTTTTAGGCGATACTTCTATTATTATATGGATAACAATTAACAGTTGTATAACCTCTGGAGATAGTTCATGATTGCTTAATTTTCGGTTGGGTAGTTCAACCTTGTAGAATTATTTAATGAGAAGTTGTAACTATTCTGCCATTGAAAATACAATTTTTTTTATACATTCTCAACAGGCGTTCTATCATGATAAGCACTGGGAATATTGAATACAAAAATAAACATTGATATCTTCTCTTTACTATTTAAACTGTCAAATCATAACTAACCCGTATCTCTACCTGCAAGTGCATAATACAGCCTGTGTGAAGAAAAAACTATTAATTTTGTGAGATAATGTTTTCAACAAGATCCAATATAAGTGGTCCTTTTTGGCTTTGCCGAGTGAATTTTTGTGTTATTACAAAAATTAAAATGATATAAAAAAGTTTTTCATAATTCGATTGGTTGCCAATGCTTTTGCATATGAAATGAAAAACTCTGTTGTTTGAAACTCATCAAATTAGGTATGTAAAAGAATATTTCTCTAACCAATGGGACATGTTTGTCCCTCAAGATAGTAATAGTCGTATCACTCAAAATATACAGTCTTTCCAATTATTGTCAGTTATAAAGGCAATTTTCGAGACATCCCACACCCAATTTACGAAAAAAAAAACAATCACAGTGGCAACCAGTCTCAATAGCAAATATCTAATGGAAGTAGCTAATGTGTTAAATGTTTGGCGTAACCAAAGAAGTGAAAAACAAAACAAATAGCTGCGTTAGCTAGTAGCGTTAGCCAGTGTTATTTTCTAACCTGTTCTGGGTGTTGTCCATAGAATGATAAGTACTCTGCTGGTGGCGTGAATGTACAGGATACTCTACACCGTCACCCAAACTACAAATTCATAAAAACGGATGTTATACAAATGGCTAAATAATAAAAACTGTGTTTTTTGTCTATATTTGTGGAAACAAAAATTTTACTTCCAGGCAAAGAAGCGAATACACTGAAAACATTATATTTGGTTTTGGCCGTTTCAATGTCGTGTTTTTGTGGCTCCATATCTCAATAAATGTTTATTCTGCTGTGTCGTGGTATACAATGCATTTATTTAATGTCCCCCCCCTTTTAGTTTTTGAACGGGTCAACTCAAAAATAGAAATTTGGGAAAATGAAATTAATGCATGAATACTTTATTTTGAAGTGAAATTGACAGATGAAACTTTCAAGATGGCGACTGGGCGCCATCTGGGGTTTTCTAGGTTAAAGCAAAAACAATGTAAAAATATTCATGTATCATGTAGGAAAGAAATTAAAACAGATGTTCCTCGATGTTCCATTTTGGGACCCACATTGTTCTTATTGTATATTGAGATCCTATAAAACTAGTTCATGATGCAACTGTAAGCTTTAAAAAAAAACATCTCCTCAATATCAAATCCTGACTTCTACAGTTCAGTCTGAATGAGGAAAAACTGACCTCTAGGTAAAAAAATCCTATCTGGCTGCGTTATTATCAAGTCAGTTTCAAGAGATGCACATATCAGAGGTGGCATTGCCTCCTGGTAGTATACACTGCAGCTGCATGTTTTTGTTTGAGTAAAAAATGAGCTCTTTGATATGTCTGTGTAGGGCAAAGTTCCTCATTGTAATTCAACTAATGAAACAGTAAGTCTAATATTTGAAAATATGGCTGATCTAACCATTTGCAATGTAATACACGTCAAGCTAACTTAATTAGACTTCCCCTTCCTTCGGCAATGATGGTAAGATTAGCTTATGTACAATGAAATAAAAATATAAACCAATGCAAAATGATCAAGAAATAGATGAAGATTCATATTATAACATCATCAGTGAGGGGAAAAATACAGCCCCAGGAATAGACAATATATCAAGGAGAATAGTACTGGCCCTAGAATCAGACATACACAAACATATATCCATCTACGAATATTGTTTGAACAATCATTACTATCCTACAGCCTGGAAAGAAGGATTAATAATTGCCATTCCAAAGCCCAATACAGACCATTCACAGACCTGCAACTACAGACCCATTACTCTTCTTCCAGCACTAGGAAAAAACTTTGAGAGAATCATCAAATCTCAATGTATCAATTAGGTTTTAGAGAAAATAGAAATACAACCCACCCTTCAGTAATTGTAATATCTAACGTACAAACAGCACGCATGACCAACCTACACTCTGCGGCACTATTTTTGGATATCAATAAAGCTTTTGATAGCGTTTGGTATGAAGGAATGTTATATAAACTTCACGAATTGAACACCCCTATCCGTCTTCTCTGTATAATAAAACAATATTTTGCGAACAGAACCCTCAACGTCAGAGTCAGAAATCCATTGTCCAAAAAATTTGCTCCCCAACAAGGAGTTCCCCAAGGCTCTCCGTTATCTCCAATTCTCTATAATATATGTTATATGCATATATACTGAGTTATAACATATATACTGCCATGATATCAGGACAACGCTCTGGTTGAATAAATGGAGACTGAGACCAAACCCGGAAAAATCACAATTCATTATTTTTCATCACAATGCTTCAGAGACGCTACCATCAATAAACATCAACAACGAAATGGTGAGAAGCAGGCAATCAGTAAAATACTTGGGATTCAACATTGACCACAAAATCAACTTGAACAGCCATACAAAAATGATTAAAAAGAAATGCATCAATAGAGGAAAACACTTTTGGAGTCTGACATTTAAAAAATGAGGAATCAACACTAAAACTGCAGCTAAAATATATAAAATGATCTGTCGTCCACTTGTCATAATCCTGCATTAAAAGGCTAACATTTCGTCTACGACTGNCCATTTTAATATGTATTGTTCTTATACTTCAGAGTCCTGAAGATGAAACAATGAAGTTTCGAAACGTCGACAATTTAAAAATGTGTTTTCTTCAACATTTTGACCGAATTCCCGCCAACTTGACAATCAAAATCGTATTCAACGGTCGCCATCCTATTCAAATATTCAATTAAACAATTCGGCAATTTTCTTGGAATTTCCAATTCTCGAATTTATGCGCCAACAATCGTGAATGCTGACAAAATTCCAAGAATTCAGCAACTATTATTAAGCAAACTTGACAACTCTAAAAAATTCCATCTAAAATTGCCTAACAAAAGACATCACAGGAAAGCTAAACTCATTGCCTGAGTTTTAGAGTAATAAAATTAGTACCAGTGGATCATATCGATGGGAAGGGGAGAGAGAATTGGTCATATGTATTTATAACAGTAAGTTTTACAGAGTTTAACTGCCCATGAAAAACATCAACAGTAAAAGGGATCAGGAGCGGATCTAGAAATTTATTGAGGGGGGGAGGGCGCACTGAAGATACATTTTCCATTATAAATAAATAAAAATTGAAATGTTTGGTGAAAATGATAAGGGTTTCAAGTAAAACCAATTACTGTACTTGGCGTAATATATTCTGTTCATTTCATGAAAGAAATAGAAAACAACAATAATTCATGATCTTTGCATGTCTTACAAACAAATGTTCTGCCACTGAAAGGGCTTGGGTTAAACAACATTCAGAAAGGGAACTATAGAGAAGTGAAAAATTAGTCAGAACTATAATTTAATGAATTGACGAATCAGAAATTTCGTTACTGCAATCAGAAATTTCGTTACTGCAACTTGTTTCAGGCAGACAAATATCAAAAATATTGTTATCGTTAAAAGTATTTTACAAAAAAATATCGACTTTTTTTAAATGATGACCACTTTAATCCATTTTGAGAATTCAATTTGTGGAATTCGCTGTTGACTGGTTAAATATTTCATTTTGATTTTATTCATCGCCCGCGATTCTTCAATCCAGTTTCTCGTAGGCAGAAGTGACTTTTTTACGATGTGCGAAATTATTTCTTAGACCAATGTTGAATTATTTATCGGCTCGACTTTAGTTATTAGGACCATACCCACAAGGGGTGTGGCATATCAACCGTGTTTTTTTTGAGACCTTTGAGTAAATTTTTGTGTTTTAATTTTGTAAAGTATTCACTTTTAGTACACTTTGCAAGAATCAACCGTATGGACATTTCCGTGTTTGAGCAACTTTTCTCATTCTTTATGATTGTTTAAAAATTAGGTCAATAAACTCAGGTTGCTCGCATACCATCAAAAAGTTTTTTATCATTGGTTTTGTTTTTTCATTGATTTACTTATGGAAAAATCGTAAAATGTAGGTTATGAACAAATTACACTCACTATCATAACTTGACTCATAGTTTGTTTGAAGGTGGTTGACAATGCTTCGTGGTGTATTTCATCAGTTCGGACTTCCATTGTCTAATAAAATACAAATTGATTTGAAATTCCTGAAAAAATATTAAAAAGATTAACCGAAAATAACAATTTTATTTTAACAAAAAAACTGAAATTA